GATAGGTAGATATATGATGATGAGGACGTGTTGATGGAGATGACTTACCAGTATATCCAAGTACGAGAGCTGGTCGATCCATAACAGATGGGTGGCCGTCTCGATGATGGAGTACCGGAGTTTCGATTGACGCATTCAGGTCACGAGCTTGATGATGATGACGACTCACCAGTAAAGTCAAGTAGATCTTGTTATCGTCCCCACTCTGCGATACGACTGCCTCCGGTCGCACAGCGATACGACCAGACAACTGGTCGATCCAGAATGCATGGGTGGCTGGCTCCACGACGGAGTAGCGGAGTTCCGATGACGTGTTGATGATAATGACTCACAAGTATAGGTAAGTGTATCTTGTTATCGTCTCTACTTTGCGAGACAGCTGGTCGAACCAGAAGGGATGAGTGGCCGACTCGATGATGGAGCACCGAAGTTCGGATGACGAGTTGATGATGATGACTTACCAGTATGGTCAAGTAGATCTTGTTGTCATCCCCACTTTGCGAGACGACTGCCTCTTGTCGCACGGCAATGCGACCCGATAGCTGGTCGATCCAGAAGGAATGAGTGGTCGGCTCGATGATAGAGTAGCGAAGTTTCGATGACGCGTTTATGATAAATACTGACCATTATCATCATCATTTCAGCCATAGCACGTCCATTGGTGAACATAGGCCACCCCCAATGATTTCTATAATGACCGGTTGGTAGCAGTCTGCATCCAGCATCTTCCTGCTACCTTCATGAGTTCATCGGTGCACCTTGTAAGTAGAGGTCTTACGCTGCGCTTGCTGCGTGGCTTCCACTCCAAAACCTTGCTGCCCCATCGGCTTTCAGGTCTGCGTACTATGTGCCCTGCCCAGTATCACTTCAGCTTGCTAATCCGTCGGGCTACTTACCAGTATGGTCAAGTAGATCTAGTTATCATCCCCACTTTGCGATACGACTGCCTCCGGTCACACGGCAATACGACCAGACAGCTGGTCGATCCAGAACGGATGGGTGGCCGTCTCCATGATGGAGTAGCGGAGTTCCGATGAAGCGTTTATGATATGCTTACCAGTATCATCATCATTTCAGCCATAGGACGTCCATTGCTGAACATAGGCCACCCCCAATGATTTCCATAATGACCGGTTTGTAACAGTCTGCATCCAGCGCCTTCCTGCTACCCTTTTAAGGTCATCGGTCCACCTTGTAAGTAGAGGTCTTACGCTGCGCTTGCTGCGTGGCCTCCACTCCAGAACCTTGCTGCCCCATCGGCTGTCAGTTCTGCGTACTGTGTGCCCTGCCCATTACCACTTCCGCTTGCTAATCCGTCGGGCTACTTACCAATATGGTCAAGTAGATCTTGTTATCGTCCCCACTCTGCGAGACAACTGCCTCCGGTCGCACAGCGATACGACCGGACAACTGGTCGATCCAGAACGGATGGGTGGCCGGCTCGATGATGAAATACCGAAGTTCTGCTGACGCGTTGATGATGATGACTTATCAGTATTAGTTAGATAGTTTTGCAGGGGCACTCAACCTCTTCATTAGGTCGTCGTACGCAATTTGTGGTTTACCTTCCTACTCCAACAACGCCTGATAACTCCAGAAAGCAAGCGGCCTAGATAGGCTTCTTGCAGTAATACTGGTGATTAGAGAATGCCTGTTGATCTGCTACGCTTCTGCACTCCATGAGCACGTGCCGCGACGTTTCTTCTGCCTCCATGCATCCTCTGCATTAGTGGGCTGTCTGTTACTGTACTCGTATGTTGTGTATATGCTGATGATGACTTACCAGTATGGTCAAGTAGATCTTGTTATCGTCCTAGGTGCCCTGCCCATTACCACTTCAGCTTGATAATTCCTCTGGCTACTTACCAGTATGGTCAAGTAGATCTTGTTATCGTCGCCACTCTGCGATACAACTGCCTCTGGTCGCACGGCAATACGACCAGACAACTGGTCGATCCAGAACGGATGGGTGGCTGGCTCGATGATGGAGTACCGAAGTTCTGATGACGAGTTGATGATGATGACTCACCAGTATAGTCAAGTAGATCTTATTATCGTCGCCACTCTGCGAGACGACTGCCTCTGGTCGCACGGCAATACGACCAGACAACTGGTCGATCCAGAACGGATGGGTGGCTGGCTCAATGATAGAGTAACGGAGTTCTGATGATGCGTCCAGGTCGCGGGCTTGGACCTGGGGAAAAAATATTTTACTAAGGATCCATTTATAAAATGATTCTCGAAACTGGAAGAAAACTATAGGTCAAAGTTATTTTTATTTATAGTGATTAGTCTAAAAGTGATCATCAACCACTAGATAGCCCAAAGATGCGGGCATCGAACTACTGATTTGACGGACTATTGTGGTGCAGCTTATCTTTGAAGGGTTGAGTTCGGAGCGTAGTTTTGTAATGTACGAGTACCTACGTTTAAGCCAAACTTACGATAATGTAGAAGTTTATCCGGTTTAATTCCTAAAGTAACAAGTAAATTTTCAATTTTTGGCATAAGATACCTTGACTCCTCGAAACGGATATGGACGATAAATATTGCCAGAAAGTGACTCTATTTAACTTTTTTGAAACCATAACGAGGTCACTCTTACGCATCTCACATTATGGATATCGATGATCAGGCCGAATGTGGAAGCTATCAAGGGATCAAAACATCACCTACACCGTCTTTAGCATCAGCTCGATGTCAATGATGTTCTACTGTCAAAGTTAAAGCAAATACCTGCAATTCCGGCTCGAACTTGACCGCGTCTTCGTCTATGGAGGCCTTGTAGACCGGCGTGGAGAATACAGGCGGATTGTCGTTGGAGTCTGTCAGGGAAATCTGTAGCGACACGACTGTGTTCTGGCCTGAACCGTCGTCGTCGGTTGCCTGTGGGATACAATGATCTTTTTATAAACCTTGTTTATTAAACTGCTAATTTTGGTAATGATGATGATGATGATCAGATATTAAAGATAAATGAGGTGAACTTAGGTAGTAGTTGGAACTGGGAGAAAACTTAAACACAATCCTTAAAACTGTTATAGAAGAACGTACCGTCACTATAGATAGAGATGTAAAATAAGACAATCTTCGAGAATGTACTATTGGAAAGGAAAAATGACGAATAATATTTTAGGAAATTATTTAGGCATAATATTATAAACAGTTTGGGCTGTCACAGGTGTTTTAGAGGTTGGTAGCAGAAAATCGATGAATATAGATGACCCACGCTGAACTGTCCCGCCAAACTCAATGACAGGGGGGCGCTACCATCGTTCAACTTCATGGTTTCCAACATGGCAAAAATCGGAACCAGCGATTCGGTATTGACGGTGGCGCCCCGCTGTCAATGTCATCGATAGGACAGTTCAGTATTTTGGAACTATAAGAAAATGCGCAAAGAAAAGATGGATGAATTGCAAAAAACTACCCTGAGATCAAAGCAGCAAAAAGTCACTTGAGTACTACATTCAAAGAAAGAAAGAAAAAATTAATGGACTTCTTAAAAAAATGATATCAAAGCAGAAGAATGTCACGAGAACCTTTCATACCTTATACTGCAAGAAGTAGTCCTTCCTAGTCTCAAAGTCCAGGCACGGGGTTTGCCCAGGCGTGGGACAGGGCGCCACAGTAATGAGCCCGGTTCTGTTGTCCACTCTGAATAGTTCAGCGCCGTTGCCTGATAGCTGGTACACTATGCCTTCTGTGCCAAACCTGACAGCAAAGGAGGAAGTTAAATTAATGAAGTTTAGTTCTAAATCTGAGGTGTGTAACTTTAGAGCCAGTCGAAGCTGCATTGCTCAGGACAATATCAGAAGGGCATTGTCATTGATTTTGCTCAGTCATACAAGACGTTTTAAACACCATATGGTATTGTTACCACTGCCCTAGGTTTAGGCGCATAATGACAAAAGCGCAAAATGTCAAATCCATAAAAATATTATATTTTTATCCTGTTTTAACGACCTCTGAGGCTGCTTCAAAGCCAAAGCATACGATGCGTTGAGGGTGGAATACGACGTCGTCGGAGCGGTGTCGCTGCATCGTCTTACATAGAAATTAATATATCTGTGCCGCGCTCTGCCTCGCAATACGGCGAAATCTTTGCGGTGCGGCGTCACAACGCATCGTGTGCTTTGGCTCTTAGGCACTGTAGCAGAGTTTGGTTTGTTATTGCCAGTTAGACCTCCATATTAATGTCTACCTTCCTTTCAATTCCTTACCTTCCAGTGTCTCTATCAGTGGCCTTCACAATGGCAATTTTAGTACCAGCTGGGGCAGCCTCAGGAACAGTGGCAGAATAAGGCTCACCAGCGAATTGAGGCGCGTTATCATTAACGTCAGTAAAAGAACCGTTCATATTTGCTCGGAAGAGAATATTACCTGCTAAGCTTTAAACATTACTTATTCCTTAGTTTTTACCTTCCAGTGTCTCTATCAGTGGCCCTCACAATGGCCACTTTAGTACCAGCTGGCGCTGCTTCAGGAACAGTGGCAGAATAAGGCTCACCAGCGAATTGAGGCGCGTTATCATTAACGTCAGTAAAAAAAACCGTTTACATCTGCTTGGAAGATAATATTAAAAGCTAAGCTATAAACATTAGTTATTCCTTAGTTTTTACCTTCCAGTGTCTCTATCAGTTGCCCTCACAATGGCCACTTTAGTACCAGCTGGGGCGGCCTCAGGAACAGTGGCAGAATAAGGCTCGTCAGCAAACTGAGGTGCATTGTCATTGTCATGTCAGGGACACTGTGTCACTATGATCACCGTAGCTTCAGACGTTTGTCCTTACCTTCCAGTGTCTCTATCAGTTGCCCTCACAATGGCCACTTTAGTACCAGCTGGGGCGGCCTCAGGAACAGTGGCAGAATACGGTTCGTCAGCAAACTGAGGCGCATTGTCATTGACATCTGTCAGGGACACGGTGACACTCGCTTTTGAGGAGAGGCGGGGCGAGGTGTGGAGTTCTTCTGCTATGACCTGCAATGATTGGGTACTGTCAGGATACATTTAAGATTTTGCTGAAGACCATTAAATTCCATAGGGGGCATTCCACGCGAAGCGGGCAGGTAAAAAAAGTCGATGTTTCCGATTTCAGTAATATTTGAGTATGTTCTACCTATACATATTATTGATACGTGTACCAAATATTTTTGTAATATAATGACTAGTTTAAGAGTTATGGGTCTTCGAAGTTTTCGACAACCGGTTGGCATGCAGTACTTCAAAGCCGATTATGGAGTCATAAAATTATATATTAAAATAATTAAACCACGGGATTTATTACTTCATTTACTGTGCTTTTTAACTGTATTTTTGGAAACGAAAAAAAAAATATTTTTTCCTAAAAAAAATGCAAATTAATTTTTTTCCTTGATTTTCACAAAGGTCGACCCTTTCGATTTTTTTATTTTTTTTTATTTAAATAGCTAATATTGTGTAGAACATTCATGCCAACTTTCAAAGTGGGCGTGGAAGTGGATTCGGAGCTAGACTGAAAATACTGCCGAAGGGTGGCGTCCAGCGCCGCGCCGTCGCGCTGCCGCGCCTGAAGCCCGCCGCCTGTGCGCGTTTAGTGAAACTGACAAGCAAATAAAATCACTTTTAACGGAATGTTTTGTAGATTTTTAATAACACCAAGACATTTTAATACCTATTGAATACTAAAATACGTTATAAAATAAAGTAGTAGTAGTAAATAAAGTTGCGTTTTTCCGTATCGTGAAAAATAAATTACATTACTCGTAACTGTGAATATTTCCTAACAAAAATACAATGAGCTGTTATTTTTATACCTTTCGAGTTACAAAAGGCGATTATGTGGGAGGCAGACGGTCGTCAGTGCTTTCATCCTATTCCTATGAAATTAAGTGGCTCATAATAATTTTTAGTTAAAATGAATACTAGACCTTTCATTCTATCTAGTCTTTTGAAAGGTCGTAAATTACTGGTAATTAGAAGATATTGTGGACCGGATTAATAGATCCACCAGTTAATTTAGGTCAGGACTAATACCCAGAACCGAACCGAAACCGCGCCGTGCCGCCCGGCATGTGCGGATACGCCATAACTAGGCTTGTGTAGTACATGTACTATGTACTAATAGGAAGCAATTCCTTTAATTAAGTGAACGAGAACGAACTATTCCGTCTTGGTCGTTCAAATCGGTCTTTTAGTACAGCCGATCACTAATGAATAGGTGTGAACGAGACGTGAAATTGGTGACAACCGCGCGCGAGCGAGATGGCATGAATGTTCTACACAATATTAGCTATTTAAATAAAAAAAAATAAAAAAATCGAAAGTGTCGAACTTTGTGAAAATCAAGGAAAAAAAATTAATTTGCATTTTTTTTAGGAAAAAATATTTTTTTTTTCGTTTCCAAAAATACAGTTAAAAAGCACAGTAAATGAAGTAATAAATCCCGTGGTTTAATTATTTTAATATAAAATTTTATGACTCCATAATCGGCTTTGAAGTACTGCATGCCAACCGGTTGTCGAAAACTTCGAAGACCCATAACTCTTAAACTAGTCATTATATTACAAAAATATTTGGTACACGTATCAATAATATGTAAAGGTAGAACATACTCAAATATTACTGAAATCGGAAACATCGACTTTTTTTACCTGCCCGCTTCGCGTGGAATGCTCCATAGTCAAAATGTAACAACGACTACCAAAGCCATTTGGTTGGGGATATTCGGACAACGATAAATCAAGCATACTGTGAAATCTATTGTAATTCTACTATGTGGGGCTATGTAACAAAAATCTATAGGCTGATGTGCAACAAGAAAGAAAGAAAGATACATTTAACAATGGACAACACACAAATACAGACAATCACATAGACATGACAGTGGCACATAATAATGGAAGAAGAAAAAATAAAAACAAGAGTAAACTGAGCAGTGCCACCCATTCACCAACAAGATGTCCACTGATACGGCATATGCCGTGGCCCACGGTGACGAAGGCCACGGCGCGGCGCTGGTTTTCAGTGTGCCCCATATTAGAACTGGTGTTGTAATAGGTCCGACTTTTCAACCAAATATAGGTCTGGCTGATAACAATGAGGAGTCTTTCCATCAGCCTAATATTATTTACCTCCAAAATAAACTTCCTCTGGTTTGGATCCTCGTAGTCTAAACTGGAGTTAAGCCTGAGGGTCACGGACGCGCTGCCGGTGGCTGTGGAAGGCTCCACTATGAACGCTCCGAATTCATCTGACAGGCGGAGAGTGAACACTGAGTTCAGACCCTGGAAAAAATTATCAATAGTTTACTCAAAAGGAAGTCACAAAAAAAAAGCTGTTATATTTACTCAAACTACGTTCATAACATGAATCAATATTAGTCATTGCATCAGTTAATATTGGGGAGGCTCATATTATTTGATTCTATTTTATTCTTGATGGTGACTTACCAATTCCCAACTAAGAGACTCTCTGGTATTTTCAAGCTGTATTCTTTCCGTTTGAAGAGGGAGACTCATCATTGAAGTCCTTGATTTTTTTTTTTATGCTAGCCAATCGCACCTGGTGTTAAGTGAGATGCAGTCTAGGATGGTACATATCTGCCCTGTAAGTGCCTATTCACTCTCGTGATTGTGACATGAGACTTACCAAGTTCGTATCAGTGACCGCCATGTCCAAGTTAGGCATTAGCGTCACCAAGGGAAACTTCTGGTATCTCCACGCTATAGGTACTACCTCCGGTTGAATCATTCATCATTATTGACGTCCTTTCTTGTGACATAAGACTTACCATCCTACAAGTGCCTGGATGCAGGCAGCGCAGGACCGGTCGTTGCTGAAATCCTTGGAGGAGGCCTTTGTCCAGCAGTGGACGTCATTCGGCAAAAAACGAACGAACGAATAGTATTTTAAGGACTTACCAAGTCCGTATCAGTAACCACCATATCCAAGTTAGGTAGTGGCGTCCCTAATGGGAGACTCTTTGGTATCTCCACGCTATACTTATTCATGGCAGTTGAACTAGGAATGCTCATCATTAACGTCATTGATAGTGATGTAAGACTTACCAAGTCCGTATCAGTGACCACCATGTCCAAGTTAAGTGACGTACCTATTGGGGGATTCTCTGATATCTCCACGTTCTCTCTCCGGTTGAACCGGGGAGGCTCATTAGTGATGTCCTTGATTGTGACATATTAAGACTTACCAACTTACTTATGTGTCTGGATGCAGGCAGCGCAGGACTGGTCGTTGCTGAAATCCTTGGAGGAGGCCTTTGTCCAGCACTGGACGTCATTTGGCTGAAACGAACGAAGACTTACCAAGTCCGTATCAGTGACCACCATATCCAAGTTAGGCAGTGGTGTCCCTACTGGAAGGCTCTCTTATTCCAGACATTTGAAGCGTCATTCGGCTGAAACGAACGAACGAATAGTATTTTAAGGACTTACCAAGTCCGTATCAGTGACCACCATATCCAAGTTAGGCAGTGGTGTCCCCACAGGAAGGCTCTCTGGTATTTCCACGCTATATTCCCTCCGGTTGAAGCGAGGAGGTTCATCGTTGACATCTTTGATGGTAACGGTGATGGTAGCAGTGGTGGATGTCAGGTCGGAGTAGAGGGGAGAACCGTTTACTATCTCAGTTGCCTGAAACGTAACGTAAAGTAGCGTTAAAATGATTTTTTACAGAAATTGTACTTGGTGCCTTCTGTAGTCGTCTCTACTTAAAGTAAGAAGTGCATTTAAAAAAAATATTAAACGATCAATATTGTACTAAAATTATTCAGGCAATGATGAATACCACCGAACAGTCATCGTAAAAGCACCCTGGAAAGGGCCTATGTACTGTACTAAATAAATTATTTGATTTGATTTGATTTATTGATTGCTACATACAATACGAATAAGACAAAGAACACTCCAAAGAAATATGTAGGTACTTACCCTGACAGTCAGATTGAGTGGTGATGAAGGATCAGCTAAAGCTTCTCTGTCCAAAGGCTTGGCGGTCCTCAGCTCTCCCGTAGAACTATCTAGGACGAAGAAGTCCAAAGGATCTGAAAGTCAAAGTCAAAGTTTTTATTCAGTAAGTACCTACTTAAGGGCCTACCTTTTCAGGGCGCTTACTACACCAATATTTACGATAACGCCCCACTGAATTAAAGACTGTACTCACTAGTAACAAGTTCCAACATGACATCTCTAGGTTGCGCCCGATCAGCATCTCTTGCCTTCACCGTAAGCGCCAAAGTCCCCACTGGGGCGTCTTCATACAACGCTCTGCTAACGCCCCACTGAATTAAAGACTGTACTCACTAGTAACAAGCTCCAACATGACATCTCTAGGTTGCGCCGTGTCAGCGTCTCGTGCCTTTACAGTGAGTGCCAGAATCTCCAGCGGGGCGTACTAAGAAAACGCTCCACTAAACGCCCCACTAAATTAAAGACTGTACTTACTAGAGATAAAACGGATAGTGGTTTGGCCGGATACCGGATACCGGATATCCGGCGAGCTGCTAGGCCGGATAGCCGGATATCCGGCGGCCGGATAGTTGGCCCATTGTCTCTTTGTATGTCATGACGAGTTTAGCGCCGCCAGGTGCTTCGAACGCGATCAGTGGGTCTAGTAGACAAGTCACACTTTTCGAAAATCGAATCCGTATCCGTCCGAATAGAATGTCAGATTTTGCCACTTGTCTAGGGGGCAGATCAATTCGAGCGATTTCGGTTGCCATCGTGAGTGTGTGGTTGAATAGGGAAAATTTAAATTAGTTTACTTGCTGCGTAATCTGACTGAACTGCATCATGTCATCAGACCATCAGTGAAAAAAAAGATCGCCTAATTTAATTGGCTATATTATTTCGACATTAACAGATATTTATTTATTTAGTACTAGCTTTCCGCCCGCAGTTTCGCCCGCGTGGAATTTTGTCTGTCACAGAAAAACTTTATCGCGCGTGTTCAAAAACCGGGATAATAACTGTCCTATCTCCTTTCCCGGGACTCAATTTATCTCTATGCCAAATTTCATCAAAGTCGGTTCAGTGGTTTAGGTGTGAAAGCAAGACAGACAGAATTACTTTCGCATTTATAATATTAAGTATAGAAGTATAGATTCGTCATTAGAGTGAATAGCCCTGACAAAGAAAAGTTTTTTGAAAGGCCTTAATATGGCTTTTTTTGGACTTTAATTATAAGCCGTTATTATTATAAGCCTTTTTAGGGTTCCATAGTCAAATGGCAAAAAACGGAACCCTTATAGATTCGTCATGTCTGTCTGTCCGTCTGTCCGTCCGTATGTCACAGACATTTTTTTCCGAAACTATAAGAGCTATACTATTGAAACTTGGTAAGTAGATGTATTCTGTGAACCGCATTAAGATTTTGATGCAAAAATAAAAAAATAATAATAAATATTGGGGGCTCCCCATACTTAGAACTAAAACTCAAAAATTTTTTTTTCGTCAAACACATACGTGTGGGGTATCTATGGATAGGTCTTCAAAAATGATATCGAGGTTTCTAAAATACTTTTTTTCTAAACCGAATAGTTTGCGTGACAGACGCTTACAAAGTGGAAAAAAGTTGGTCCCCCCCCCCTCTAACTTCTAAAATAAGAAAATGAAAAATCTAAAAAAAAATATATGATATACATTACTATAAAAACTACCAACGAAAATTGTTTTGAACGAGATCTAGTAAGTAGTTTTTTTTAATACCTCGTAAATCGTAAACCGCTTATTACCGCGTAATCTTTCATACAAATAACTTAAATTAAAAAAAAATAATTTTAATTTCATAAATCAATGGTACGGAACCCTTTGTGCGTGAGTCCGACACGCACTTGGCCGGTTTTTATTGATATTTACCTCAAAGATGAATGTATTTCATTTTATTATAAGAAATTGTCGTAGTTTTTTAATATCCGGTATCCGGCCGGATAGTGAGTTACTATCCGGTATCCGGCCGGATAGTAAATTTAGGCCGGATATCCGGCCTACCGGATAGTTACCGGATATCCGTTTCATCTCTAGTACTTACTAGTAACAAGTTCCAACATGACATCTCTAGGTTGGGCCCGATCAGCATCTCTTGCCTTCACAGTGAGCGCCAGAGTCCCCACTGGGGCGTCTTCAGACAACGCCCCGCTAAGGGCCCCACTGAATACAGGTGGGGAGTTCTGCACGTCCACTACTTTGACTTCCACGTGGGCCGTAGAGTTTAGGGTGCCATCCTAAAATAAGAATAAAATTTTGAATCTTAAGTTGATTGTAATTTGCAATTAAAACATCATTTTATTATTCCATGTGTCATATTGTGTGTCATGGTGTTCTTACTGACATAGTGAAGTAATTAAGCTAGTTTAATATTATTTCTCAATTAAGTATTAATTCAAAGTGTTGTGAAAAATACCCTTAAAAATTACTTAGTTACGTTTTTGAGCAAGACTGAACTAATTCAAACAAGAAAGATGTAAAATTTGTTGTCCTCCATACACAAACCTTTAGTATAATAAATGGACTTATTTTACCTAACATTCTAAAGTAAATACTGCACTAATTTAATATAATATAATGAAGATACGACACTTTTGTCAGTAGAATGTATTTCAAAGCAGAAGGAAGTTTCAAGCGACAAAATCGATCCTACAGATATGAATTCATATAATTATTTTTCACTTTTCCTCATTGTTCGTCGTTAATAGCATACCATTAAAACTATTACACCACACAATCACAATAACTACTGTGAAAAAGTAATTAAGTAAAATTATACAAAAACTAATATTCAATTCCTTCTCGTTTTTCTTACCGCGCGAAACTCCGCCAAAATTACCGCCACAGATTAGACATAAATTGATTGCACAGATTGCACACAAAATACGATTTTTTTTTCGATTTTCGAATATTTTTTATTTTGTGTATGGCCAGTATTTTTTCTGTTCGATGTTTAAAATTGAGTTTGAACTCATTTTGTATTTCGCTTAAAAACAGAAAAACAATAGAACAGCGTTCATTCTTTTACGAAATAAATGCAAGTATTTAATTCACATGTTTTTTTTATTATAATTTAGAAAGGTGTAAGATTTTCACAATGTTAAAATAGTAAGACACGGGTCTTAACGTGACGTTCATTAATGAGTTACGTGTCTTACTATTTTAATTGAAATGGAACGCGAAAGTTTAAAGTCTTATTTCACAATGTTGTTAATTAATAATTTTCTGGTTATGAGGAAAATTCATTTTCTGAAAAATATTTTCAGATACAAAAAGTAGGTAATGAAGATTACTTACGGTGGCGTATAGTTGGAACTGATAGAACTGCTTGTCGTTGTAGTTCAGAGCTTTCTTCAGCACCAAAGCTCCAGTGTAATGGTTGGCAGACGAGTTCAGGGCAACCACCTCGAAAGCTTCACAGGCTTCGGGCCACTGAAACATTTCAATTATTTATTTATTTTACTAGCTGACCCGGCGAATTTCGTACCGCCTTATTCATAAATCATTATAACTTATTAGCTGACTCGGCGAACTTTGTTCCGCCTATGTTCGTTAGAGATAATGTAAAATTCTAATGGTGACAGATTTTTTCTAATCAGTCACGTAGTTTTGGAGTGTATTCAATAGAAACAAACAATCAAAAACATTTCCTAGAGCTTCATTAGAGATTTTGATCAGTGATTCGGAGCTATTGAGTTACTCCAGTTCTATCAAATGAGATCGTCTTACACCACATTAAATCTTTACTCTTTTTATTATTAGTGTAGATTAAAATACCCTTTTCATACTTACTTGTTCACTCAAACATCCAACTTCGAGGCTGTCTCCTACAGAATCTTTATCTTCAACTTGGATGTTGGTCAGAATGGTTGTACCAATCGCCTCGTCTTCAGGAACATCTACCTCATATGGACTCTGAAAAATAGGATTAAAAATAATGTTTATTAACCCTTATGTAACACCGTGGGGTAATTATTTACCCCAGGCGCATAAAAATTGACATATCTTTTTTTCTACCGAAGCTAGTGCAATGTCGTTTTGTGTATTCTCAATGCAGAGTGTGCGCTTTAAGCTCGTAGACGCGGGATGTGAAGAAAATCATCTGTTTGGCTTGTGCAGGTAGATGGGGTGGAAAATTACCCCAGGGTGTTAGTTACGCATGCTTTAATTTATCATCACCTAACATCTTATTAATAGGTTTTTACAATATTTAAACAAAATGAGTAAAATTTTATATGACGATTAAGTAGCACGTTGTCTCGAGAATGCAGAGAAATAAATAAAGCTTGATTTACATGATACTTTTCGAACTTTGAAGACATCCCCTCAGAACACAGCGTTCATAAATTCGACACAGAAATAGAGCCCAAAAGTGATAATTATGTAATAATTCAGCGTGTCTGATGTGTTTTGAAAAAAATAATTAGGAATAAAATAAATAAAAAAATATATTTTCATAATTTTATAAAAAAAAAGTTTTTTTTATTTTGCTTTATTATAAAGCCAGATATTTTCGTTTTATTTCATTTTGTGTTTAAAATATGTATAAAACATCTATTCAATGTCCGATTAGTGTAAGTTTTTGGTTCCCACAATAACTTTCCAAGATTTTTCTAGAAGACCATTGTGAAGACTATTAGTTGCCAATGAAAAAATCTTTGTTTTTTGTTATGATTGATTTAAGATTCTTCTTTACGCTAGATAGACGTTCTTTTAAAACAATAGTACAATGTAGTGAGTCCATTAATACACTGTAAATCACAAATTAAATTGATTTTAAATATTTACTTAAAAATTTTTCAATTTCAGTTTGGGGTATTTTTTTTACCCCAGGGTGTTCTAAGTGTAACCAAAAATAAGGATGTTACTTAAGGGTTAATTAATTAAGACATGATTTCTTTCATTGCCTAAATCTCTTAGGTAACGGTTTTCGTTTTCTAATGCGAACATTTTAATATTCAAGTAAATAATGTAACCCATAATTAAATCATAGCTAGGTCTCAGTTATCTGCACTGAAAAATGAAATTGCGGACAAAACTAATCGATAAATCTAAGTGTTTTGATAAGCCTGTGTTGTAAGCTACGTGCATTATCGACACGCACGTTTCCTTTAGTTTATTCAAATGAACGAATTATTGTATTAACTAAACCACAGTCTAAACTTTATCTCTGCTTGTTGAACTATGTTTTGTCCATGCAAATGGGTCTGTCATAAAAAAAAATGTTTAGGTAGATAGCTCTCTTTGAGAATACTCACATTTTTAAAAGTAGGCGGATTATCGTTTTCATCGAGGACTATCACAGTCACCGGCTGTAGCTGAGCCAAATTCTTCGCCGGATCTTCGTTTTGGCTTTCTATTGACACTAAAAACTTAATTGTATCTTCAGTCTGAAAAAAAAGAAGTTTTTTTTTCATTAACTAGTAAGTCTTAGTAAATTAATTTTATTTTGGAAAATGTTAAATGTGCCTTGGTTGACCAACAAAATATAAAATTTTAATAATATTGATGTGGTTTTTCTGTTTTCGGCTCAATAGGCTCTTAATTTTCTTTTCAGCTTTGATTACAATGGAACACAGCGTGTTTCAAAATCAAATTCAATTCAAAATACCCAGCCCCGTGCTAAGAGATTGAATTGAATTTGATTGCTACGAAACACTGCCTCGTGTGTTGAGACTTCTCTCTCCGAAAAAGAGCGAACGTATGAAGTTAACGCCCGTTTTCACAAACGATTCTTGCATAAGTGAAGTAAACCGAACGCACAGCGTGGAAAAAAGCTCTGTGATTGGTTCATGTGTGACACCGTGCGTCCACGCGCACTGTGAGACCTCATAGTAATGTTTGTGAATACGGTCGTAAGTCTCTTGCACCTCCCATGAATTAGTTGTTGAGTGAGCGTCATGTTCCGCTATTTTGTTTAGTACTAGGTATTACTACTGTTATGTATTAATGCTCATTGCAAGTGTGAATGGACTTACCTCTCTATCTAACGGGCGGTTTAGGGTTACTTCACCGGTACTCGGGTTTACCGTAAACTTGTCAGTTCCCACCAGATTGTATTTTATCTGAAACATAAATAAATTCTGTATAAACTGATTGCTTGAATGGTTTCTGCAACAGTTATTTTCCTGCGAATCATTTGAGGTTTGGTAAGATATGTTGTAAGTCCGCTTGACTCTACCAACCGTGCGATGTGGAAGTCATTGGGGGAGGCCTATGTTCAGCAGTGGACGTCCTATGGCTGAAATGATGATCTATCTAGGTTGTATCTTAGTTAATCGCTATAAAAACAATGTTAATGATATTGTTATATTTCGGCAGTTGGTGCCTAATCATCCTCCTTTAAAAAGCTAAAAATCCTCAACCACAGAGGTTGAGGATTTCGGATGAAGCTTGCTTCCACCTTCAATCTAATTATTATTTTCCACTAACATACAGATCAAAGAGCTTCCCGTTGTGGCTCATCATCATCATCATCGAGTCATTCAGTCTCAACTGCAAGATATTTACCAGAGGCAAAAAGGATACCTATACTCTCTAACCTGCAGTGGCGGATTTACCAATAGGCCAAGTAGGCCAGTGCCTAGGGCGGCAGATTTAGAGGGGCGGCAAATTTAGCAAATTTTTTTTTACAGGAAAAAAATAATATAATTATACGTATACCTACACAATCCATATATAAATAAACGATTAATAAACGCACTGTAATATATACTTAGGTACTTATGTGATCATGAATTTTAAAATATTCCAATAGCGTTTCAATAAAAATAAAATAAAAAACTCTTAAGTAACACAGGATCTTCGGAGCCTAGCACGAGCACCATCTCTCCACAACTTCGTGTATATTGTTTTACAGGGTAGCCCAGAAGAAAATTCACTTTTGAAAATTCAAGGAAACGAAAACTGTACATTTTTGTAGAACTTAAGCTATTGCAATTTAAAGGAAATTTAGTGCAATTTATTTTAAAATTTACTATCTTTTATAAATTTTATCGTACATGTGATTCCCTTGACGTTTACAACATTCGGTCAACATACATCAACATTTTGGAAAACTTTCGTAAGCGCTCCTGCACACGACGCCGCTACCGCGCCGCCGCCGCGCCGTCGCCGCGCCTTTGCACTGTTTATACGCGCCGCGTGAACACCGCTGCCGCGCAGGCGCCGCGCCGCCGCGGCGCCGCCGCGCCGCGCGCGAAATTATGCTTTGTTGGCGCGGTGGCGGCGCGGAGGCGGTTTTACTCGGTGCGTATGAACAGTGTAGCGGCGCGGCGACGGCGCGGCGGCGGCGCGGTGGCAGCGTCGTGTGCAGGAGCCCTTAGAGTTACCTCAAAATGGATTCAGGATGGATGAATGCTGCAGAGTTTTTGGATTATTAGAGTATACTCTGCTCATAAGGTAACCCCACAAAAAGAAGTCTGCTGGAATGAGATTAGCGCTTCTTAGAGGCAGTGAGATTTCACCACTGCTTAATTGGTTTGTTGCATTGAAAGGATGATTAATTTTTGAGAGCGCTATACTGGTAGGCTGAAAAGCTTTTTGATTTCAAAGCTGCAAGATTCGCAAGGTTATGACCGGAGCACTTGGTTTCATCAAGATGGGGCTACGTGTCACACTTCAACTGAGAGCATTTAGATGGTAAGAGACATGTTCCCACAAAAAAATAATTTCAGGCAGGGGTGACATCTCCTGGTCACCAGGAAGCCCAGGAAAAAATAGGTTTCAAAGTAATTCTGACGAACGCATTCCAAGATTTTGATGTATGTTGATCGAATGTTGTAAGCGTCAAGGAAATCTCCTGGGCGATGTAATTTAATAAAGGTAAATTTAAAAATAAATAGCATTAAATTTTCTTTAAATTGCAATAGTTAAAGTTCTATAAAAATGTAGGTACAGTTTTCGTTTCCTTGAATTTAAAAAGTTAATTTTCTTCTGGGCCACCCTGTATTACCAAGCCTTGGTCTTTCTGTTTACCTGCTAATTATACTGGATATAACACTTCGAATGGCTCTGTGCACATCGGTGACAATTTGTTCAGGTGAGAAGCTTTTCTTGCTTAAAACGGGTTAAAAACTATCTACGATCTACTTTAAGTCAAGAAAAGCTTAATGCTTTATCTCTTTTGTGCATAGAGTCAGAACTTATGAAAAAGATTTCATACGTCGATATAATTAATGATTTTGCAAATTTAAAATCTCGCAAGAAAATAATGTAAAACTTATTTGATCTCATTGTCTGTCACCATTAACTGAATTGTTAACATGTTATATTTTAATAGAAATTGTTTGTATTGTTTTTAAACTGTTAAGTCCAATAAAAAATATTTACCAAAAACAATGTTTACTGACCACACATTATTTTGTCTGTGTTCAATGTTCATATAGTGTAGGTATTTTTAAGTCATGCCTTTGCCCACCTTAGGATTAGTACATACTGCTGTTTTTAGGTCAACATTAAACTCTTCATTACATAGCGGGTTGCAATAATAATCTGTAACTGACAGAAATATCATTAAGTTCACAATCATACTAATAACGGGATTAAACTAACGTATTGAATTTCAAAAGTCAGTAGGTAGGGGCGGCAAAAATTGAATGGCCTACTAGCGGCAAATTTGTAAATCCGCCACTGCTAACCTGGTGTTCACATATACCCTTTAGAGCCAAAGCACACGATCCGTTGCAGCCACGCACCGCAAAGATTTCGCGGAATCGCATGATGCTTGTTGGGCTAACCAGCCACTGATAATTTCTATGTAAGATGACGCAGCGACACTGCTCCGGCATCGCAACGCCGCAACGTGTCGTGTGCTTTGGCTCTCAGTTACTTAAGCCCTGTTGTGATATCTCTCATCTAATGGTGCGTCCACACTGGGCAAACAGGATCGCGCGGCAAATTCGACATCCTGCTCACTCAAGAGCAGGGTGAGCAGGATGTCGAGTTTTCCGCGTGAGCCCGTTCGCCCAGTGTGGACGCACCATTAGTCGAACACGTGTCAGAGTGGTCGTGGTTGCGCTGTCGAGGTATACGGTGGGGTGATGTCATCTCCGAGGATAGCTCTCCTGGCGATGTGCTTCCATTTCTGACAGTTAAAGGCGTCGCGAGTAAACTGGACCATGTTGTGTTAAATAAATAAATATAAGACGTATTGCTTGTCCTTACCGGCAACCCATCCGGGTCCATTCCTTGCAGCGTGTAGACTACGGAGCCGGTGGGCGTGGTCTCCGACAGCGCTAGGTTGTTCATGTCCTGCGTGAACACTGGCAATTTGTTGCAGGACACTGCGAGTAAAAAAAGATATATTACCATAAACAACAAGAGAAGAAAGGAATACGCAAAAGAGACGGCATAATTTAGGCGGTCTTAAAAGACCGCTGTGAAGCAATCTTTTCCAGACAACCTAGAGATATCGTTCGTTCGTTCGTTTCAGCCAAATGACGTCCACTGCTGGACAAAGGCCTCCTCCTAGGTTTTCCACAATGCACGGTCCTGCGCTGCCCGCATCCAGGCTCTTCCCGCGACCTACCTAGAGATATCACTAATATTAAATACAAGTGGCCACCCGCGACTTCATACGGGTGGATCCTGTTTTACCGCCTTAGGGTTGGATTTTGCAAAATCCTATCTTAGTGAGCACCTACGTTCTAAAAGGAACCCCCATGCATTTGGACTCCTAGCACTTGTAGTTTTTGAGATTTCGTGATGAGTGAGTGAGTCAGTCAGTCAATCAGTCAGTGACTTTTCGCTTTTATAAGCATAGATTCTAGAGACGAGTGGTAAGGAAAATTAATTGGCTTGGGCGAGTCAAATATTTACGACTTGCTGTTGCGACTTGACGACTTGGCGCCCTTAGATGTGCATACTTTGTTGGCACATATTATGCTGTAAGTGTATAGTAATGAACTAGGCTCCCATTTATACATTTAGATGGAGAGGAAAACCTAAACTATCAAATCAGATCACTCAGTTCTCTCTCTCTCTCTCTCAGAATGAATTTATCACAGAAATAAAAATCAATTTAAATACAGCCAAATACAACTATCCAAAGATCTACAAAAATAGTTCCATGTGCATTCGACTGTAGGTACAATAGTGTACAAAGTTAGTAAGAACATCTATTTCGAATGTGCTAATTAGATACTCAGATTTTTGTAACTGTACGTTTCTTTTAACAGAAAAACGCTTTGTTTCACTTTCACGTTTCATTAGAATACCTTTGCCAAAAAACATTGGGTATTGGCCTTTCATCCTTACTCAACACCTTAATCAGGTCTATTATTCTCTTATACTTTAGTAAAGTAATTAATAAGTCACCAAGGGGCTATAGTAAAGTAAAAAACTAACTACACTCGCGAGCAAAAGTATGGAATCACTTACATGAAGTTGTTTCCACGCGATCTTGTGTACTAACGAATTTGTTAGTAACTAAAAAAGTAGCATCATTTTAAAGATTAAACTTTTAACTTTAAATTGATACCAAATTCATTTAAATCACACCGGTATTTAAAAAGATATCCCGGCTGATGTGAAGAAGTAAGAAAAAAGACATGTACCAAATGTTTGATACGTCGCGAGTTGCGGCCTATTTACCCCCTATAAAAGCACGTGTTTTCGGATTTTTGCGTTCACACGTTGATCCATACACATCTCGGCTTCTTTTGACACTTTACCTGGGATTCTACACCTTCAGAAGCAGCACAAATCGTTGCACTATTGCAAGAAGGGCTAAGCCAGCGGGCTGTCGCACGTCAGTTCCACATAAGCCAGTCCTGGGTTTCAAAAGTTTTAAGACGCTTTCGGGAGACTGGTGGCTTTATCCCGAGACCAAGTTCTGAACATTGCCGGTGCACATCGCAGAGGGAAAACCGTTTTTTCATGTCAACTTCTCTACGAAATCGTCATTTGACTGGTATCGACGTCCAGCAAGAGCTCAGAAATGTTCGTAGGATAGCTGTTAGCGAGTGGACAGTTCGTCTAAGATATGAGCAATAAAATTTGACTCCAAAAAGGCCTGCCACAGGCTGGAAACTGACGGCAGGTCGCCGACAAGCACGCTTTCAATTAGCTCGCACTCGGAAGGCGAGTAATGGAGGCGAGTTTTGTTCTCCGATGAATGCAGACTGTTTTTGCAGTGCAGCAGTCGAAGAGGTCGGGTCTATAGACGGCCTGGGGAGCGATTTGTGCAGTCCTGGTTCGCTAAAACATTGGCTTATGGGGGTGGCTTGCTCGACTTCCCATCGAGATGTGTAGGAGCAAATTGAAAGCGTGCTTATCGGTGACCTGCCGTCAGTTTCAAGCCTGTGGCAGGCCTTTTTGGAGTCAAATTCTATTGTTTATATCTTAGACGAACTGTCCACTTGCTAACAGCTATCCTACGAACATTTCTGAGCTCTTGCTGGACGTCGATACCAGTCAAATGACGATTTCGTAGAGAAGTTGACATGAAAAAACGGTTTTCCCTCTGCGATGTGCACCGACAATGTTCAGAACTTGGTCTCGGGATAAAGCCACCAGTCTCCCGAAAGCGTCTCAAAACTTTTGAAACCCAGGACTGTCTTATGTGGAGCTGACGTGCGATAGCCCTCTGACTGAGCCCTTCTTGCAATAGTGCAACGATTTGTGCTGCTTCTGAAGGTGTAGAATCCCAGGTAAAGTGTCAAAAGAAGCGGAGATGTGTATGGATCAACGTGTGAAAGCAAAAATCCGAAAACACTTGCTTTTATGGGGGGTAAATAGTCCGCAACTCGCGACGTATCAAACAGTTGATACATGTCTTTTTCCTTACTTCTTTACATCAGCCGGGATATCTTTTTAAATACTGGTGTGATTTAAATGAATTTGGTATCAATTTAAAGTTAAAAGTTTAACCTTTAAAATGGTGCTACTTTTTTTGTGATTAACAAATTGGTTTGTACACAAGATCGCGTGGAAACAACTTCATGTAAGTGATTCCATACTTTTGCTCGCAAGTGTAGATGAATTATTGCAATAGTAGCTATAAAGATTAGGTATTAATAAAAATTATATGTTACCTATTGTAAAATGTATAATCCATAGCGCTAAAACACGCCACCGAAGCTCCATCTTAGCAAACCTGCAACAAAGAAAATAATTATTAAACTCTACTTTCTTGTACACAATAACAATATAATAAACTTCACTGTAAAAATGCAGTAAAATAGAGAGCGAGAGAAAAAAAACAAAAGAATATCAAATTGACCGTCGAGTAAAAATTAAGTTTCTTGGTGGCCAGTGTCGCGCGGCCAAGGAGGCTACAACACTAAAATTGTTTGGCCAAAACCAAACTACCACGTACAATGTATCTGTAAGGGCGACAGCACAATATCAGCCAGCTACATTTTTATTGCAAAATAGCNAATTATTTAACGTCGTCGTCCTTTAATATTATCGACATTTTTTTTACGATATTAAACACAGCGACTTTTAAAATGGACAACGAATCAGAATTGGTTTAATAATAACTTAACCTTATAGAACCTCACGATAAAATAAACGAAATCAACCAAATTCAAATTACACAACATTCTCTTAATCGACGGGGGGGGGGGGTCTAGAAAGGAAAAAAATCTGGACACCGCGGTGCAGAAAATCGACGCTCAAAGTGCTAGCGCCATCTAGCGGTGAGCGGTACAGGCGAACACCACGGTGCCGGTGTGGCGCTAGTAGTATTGATTATGAATGTGGTGTTACTCCAGATCTTCGATTTTCCTAGTTTTTATAGTTTTCCCTTTATGTGGCCATTAAACCCTAACTTTATACCAAATTTCAGCTCTCTGAGTTTATGGGAAGTACTAGTTCTATTTTGATGATCATCAGTGAGTGAGTGTCATAAATGCGAAACTTTGCTTTCGCTTAACTTCGGAACTAAATTACCTACAGACTTGAAATTTTGGATTTTAGGTATGTGATTATAGCTTACTAGATGACGAAAATTTCTGCGTTCTGGTCTTATCCAGAGGTTCTCAAATAGGGACCTGAAAATGCGGCGAAATGGTTCCAGTAAAGGATGGTACGGCAGTGTTTGCTTCGCGCTCGACTTGGCGGGGGCACTGCCGTGCCCCCAGATTTATTACAACTAGATAAGAACCACGATATTAAGCTTGACGTGCTATCGTCTTACGAGTATCATTAATAAGAAAGGGATTGCAAATTTTATTTAGGTTAATACTTTAACAGATTAGAATCTACGAATAGTCAAGTAGGTATTTGTCGACCGTAGCAGTTGCAAAATACCTAGATAGTTGAACACGACTCAATAAGTGCCCCCTACACTTTATAGGTTAATCTGTGCTCCCGCAAGGTCGGACGGTTCAAGGTTCGATTAAAAAGCGCGTTGTCGCCGAGGTCTATTTTGTGCTTGATAAAGTGAAATCTTTATAATTCTTTTTTAATTAAATGTACCTAGTGTATTACAGTAACGCCCAGAACACACGGTGAAACGCAATTGCAACGAAACTGCATCTTCTAGTTACTTTTGAGTTCCGTTGAGAGACCACAAATGACGCGACCAGTTTGAAACCGGTTTGAAATGGTCGCGTCATGTGTGGTCTCTCAACGAATTCTATGGCAGAAACTTAAATGCAACTCAAAAGTAACTAGAAGTTGCAGTTTCGTTGCAGTTGCGTTTCACCGTGTGTTCTGGGCCTAAGAGAGAGACGACATGATTTTTTGCATGACAAAACTCTGCTTCAGACGGGACTCGAAGCCTGACTTTTCGCGCGAGATGACTGGTTCAGGCCACTCAGCTACAGATGGGTTAATATTGGTTGTTTATTGCAAAACAAATTAACGTTAATTTAACTTCATAACAATATGTATTGGTACGCCTCAGAACAAATAATTCCGACCCCAAATAATGGGAAAAAGGAAGAAAACAGGAAGACAATAAGTATTGATCATCAATAAAACATAATGTATTTTCCTTATTATGTAATAAATATTGCAAACAATAACCAATTGGTAGAATTAAATCAATTAATCAATAATAACTGAATTAACTATTGAAATGATAACGAGGATTCGTATTGAGCGTTATTAAATTCATATTTCATACATACCTAAACAAGACAAAGTAAAGACAAAGTAAAATAATATATAGTAGCGGCCGCCCGCGATTTCGTACCCGTGGATCCCGTTTTACCCCCTTAGGGGTGAAGTTTCGTAAAATCCTTTCTTAGCGGATGCGTACGTCATAACATCTACCTGCATGCCAAATTTCAGCCCGATCCATCCAGTGGTTTGGGCTGTGCGTTGATAGATCACTATGTCAGTCAGTCAGTCAGTAACCTTTGAGTTATAATATTTAGACTAGCTTTCCGCCCGCGGCTTCGCCCGCTTTGAATTTTGTCTGACACAGAAAAACTTTATAGCGTACGTCCCTGTTTCAAAAACCGGGATAAAAACTATCCTATGTCCTTTCCCGGGACTCAAACTATCTCTATGCCAAATTTAATCAAAATCGGTTCAGTGGTTTAGGCGTGAAAGAGAGACAGACAGACAGAGTTACTTTCGTATTTATAATATTAGTATAGACTAGTATAGATTAGTTATATTTAAAACCTAGGACACCTAAACATCACCTAGGACATGCTAACGCAGTTAACCATTAGTAATGGTCATTTACAAATGGCTGCAATTAACTTCAGGTTAATTAAGAGGTCAATGGAGAGACCTCACGACTTGATACAACTCCGCAACTGTAGAAATTGACTATTTATTTAGGTAGGTATAAGACAAACTAAAGTTGTATACCAAGGTACATACAGGGTGTCCCAAAATTTGCACGTCACAGAGGTAAATGAGCTTAAGACGCATCTAACAACTATATTAAGTCCATTTAAAAAAAATAACTAATATGAATCGTATTTTTCAAAACTCATCAAACTTTTCTATGGACATGAATAAATAAAAGTGGTCATATCTTAAAACTTATGAAACTTTTTTATGGACATATTAAGCTGTTCATTTTTTTTTTATGTGACAGGAGGCAAACGAGCAGACGGATCACCCGATGGTAAGTGATTACTGTCGCCCATAGACACATGTTCATGACATGTTCGATGCATCTTAGACTCGGCTACCTCCAGAGTCAGTGTGACGTGCTAATTTTGGGACACCCTGTATAATATCTAAATGCTCAGGTTATTACCTATCGAGAACCTATTGGTTATCGATTTAAGTATATTATCGTGCCTCATCATACATACTTAGTAACTTTACAGACCCCAAATAAAAGTATGCTACATTGAACTATGATGTCATGATCGAATCTTTTTTAGTGATGTACAAAAATAACACTCGAGCTACATTCAAAAATCATCTTGATTTTGTCATTATCAACTGTTATTTTACTCGTTTGATAAAACAAATCTTGTTGCAGGATTTGTAGAGACTAATAGATATTTTTTCTTTTCTCTATGTTTTACTGAAATGTTAATAGTTTCATGAAATTTCATGTTCAGAGGAAGGTGGTGAGACCACATAAAAAGATGAAAAACTTCAATGTTCATAAGAACATACATATTGTAGTATATGCTATTGCAAAACGAATGCTAAATCGATAATGATTCGCATGCAAAAATGTTAGCGAGACTGGAATCCTAATTACCATGGAATTGTATAAATGGCCGAGAAACAAATTATGAAACAGAATCTCACGGCTTACTTTGTAATGCGCCGTGAATCCATTGTCTTAGGTCTAGTGATGTAGATGTTATGTCAATTAAATCGTTTATCGATAAAATTAATACAGTTTACTACATTAAGTTTCCGAGCTAAATCAATAATAACTTATCTATATCTATACTTCTATACTAATATTATAAATGCGAAAGTAACTCTGTCTGTCTGTCTTGCTTTCACGCCTAAACCACTGAACCGATTTTGATGAAATTTGGCATGGAGATAGTTTGAGTCCCGGCAAAGGATAGCTTTTATCCCGGTTTTTGAAACAGGGTCGCACGCGACAAAGGTTTTCTGTGATAGACAAAATTCCACGCGGCCTAAGCCACGGGCGCGGTAGGTATGCTAGTGCTACTATAAATAAAAGTTTACGGAAGCCAATTTAATCTTAATGATAGGTTAATCACAAATGTACTCGTAGCAGGCGGTTTGTTTTTATTTTAGTTAGCTTTTGTTCCGGAAACTTCGTCTTCATCGGTCTTAGTCATTTGGTGTATAACGGCACCTGCGGTTGTTAATTTCCGCTGGAAGTAAGTTATTCATTTATGTATTTTGTATGTAAGTAATATTACGAGATGTATGTTTGTTTATCCGTATTTTTAGTAGAAAATCTGCTCAATTTGAGCCTTGGTGTTATTTTACTATGGGGATAATAGTTAGGTATCGATATCGACAACATCGAATCGAACATCACTATTTATTTTACTGTTTAGTTTTTCGTTACCGTCCCTCAGCTTAATGTTATGATGACGGTTTTGAAGTGCGTTAAATTGCATGAGACGGTTTAGTTTTTGTATTTTGTCAGGGTCCTTTTAAAAATAAACGCAGTTAAAACAGACAAGTAGGTTGGTACCATTGTTTGCAAAAGTTTTTAAAAATAAACAATGCAAAATAAATAACTACATCTAATATATGAACATCATCATCGTCAGGTCAACTTGTCTGACATTAAAAGCACACAACCCTCTCTATCTTACCAAAGGCATAGGAGGAGGAAGGAGGTAATTTAGCCTTCACTCACCACGATAGCCAGACGGGTTATGAAGGTCTGACGTTCCCATAGTCTCCTTTTAATACATGGGAAGAGGGGTGTTGGTTTGGTCCTAAATTCTACTCTGCGTGACAGTTTGCCTTGCCGCAACAATGAATGTATACCTTTATGTGTCTCAAGACACACTGAAAACGACTGTGATATGAGAAGCTATAATTAATAGGTATAAGCTGGAGAGGATTGCGTCTTAATGCATTATTGAGTTTTTTTATTGATTGTTTAAAGCTGCAACTCATATTAAATAAGACCACGCCTAACTGTACATGATTGGAAACTAATTATGTCAACGTTCCAACGTAATGGACTGTTGAAATACAATAAGGACCTTGACACGATTAGCT